AGATCACCAAAAAGAGGGAGAAATATTCATTTGTCACATACTGAAGCACCAACATTTTTACAAAAATAAAAATGCAAACCTATATGAATATTCTTTTTTAAAAGATAGATGCTAATAAAATATTTAAAAGTAGAAAATTCAGATTGCAGTTGTACAATTTTCTCTTGGTCTCAGGTATAGCTATAGAATTACATTAAAGAGATAAATACATATACAACCATATATAAAATCAATATAATTCAAGGAATATTTATGACATTTAATGTTTAATATTTGTGATTTCAGGGACCACCTGGGAAGGATGGCCTGCCGGGACACCCAGGGCAACGTGGGGAGACTGTAAGTGACCCCATTCTTCTAAATCAAATTTTCCATCTCTAGCACCTCATCATGTCATAGAAACCTCCTTTATTGTTAACAGGTCAATTACCAGGTTAAAGACAATGGAGAAATTTCACTCAACCTTTTTAAAAATATTTTTTAAATACATAAAGAGATCCATGTGTTTGTATCCAAACACCTAAATGAATATACTTGAGGACGGGGATGTTACTTGATTTTATTTTCCTTATTTTCAATAGCAGCACTTTAGGGATGAGCTGATGGAAAGACCTCATTATCTTTTGGATACCTCCACAAGTTTGTCAGCCATGACCCTTTCACTGAAGTCTTTTTTACAGATATATTCCACCCTTCACCCTTCCACTTCTAAAGGAGACACAATACAATAAGCCATGTGGTTAACACATTCTTCTATCCAGAATTAAGGGATGAAATATTTACTGATACTGGAACCATAAGGCTATAATTGGTCTGGACCTGTGTCAAATGCATCCTCTCCTCTCAAGTAGAAAAATGTAAATGGGAAAAATGTAATAATTTTATTTTAAAATTATAAGGCAAAGAGCATTAACAAAATTGAACAATACGTATCACAGTGATTTGGGCGGAGGGGAAGCTGGAAGCTCAGCTGCGGTTTAAGAGTCCTGTGGTTTTGCTTATTTGTTCTGCCGCTGTTACAAGCCTATGTGTCTGGCTGTTGCTGTGGGGTGGTGGTCTCATCAGAAATCATTATGGATTAGCATGTCTCCTTGGAATCGATTCTTGGTTCCTACCATTGATTGATTTTATCCAGATTTCTTAAGGAAACCGAAACACAGGCTACCTTTGACTATGTGGCTCAAAATTAATTTTAAGGCATTCTGCCAGCATGAACACATAGCTGGAGTTCCGCTGAAAAGCCCAATGAAAATCTGAAAAACATGGTGATTTTCTGCATAGGAGAAACAGTGTCAGCAGCAGCCAATTCCTGTTTTGTTCACCAAGTGACAATTCTTACTGTAATAGCTTCTCCGCTTCAGTCAGATTGTAAACTTCAAAGTCTTGGGTTACAGAAGCAGAATCAAAAATGATTTAGTGAGACCAAAGAGTATACTTGTTTGGGTTTCCTCTTGGGGATGACATCGGCATGAAGAGCATAAGATAAACTCTGTAAGGGATAATCCTCATGCAAATTTGCAGATATATTCTCATTCAAATCTTGCAGTCAATCATTTTTAACTAAGTCGTGGTGGAGCTTCTTGGGAATAACTCTAGAATATTTACAGTGTCTTTTGAGGAAGGAGTACCTAGAGATTTATCATTATAAAATCCCTTTTGTCTTCAATTTAATCAAGAGTTTCTGCTTCTATCCAAAGTAACCATGTTATATATAACATTTAAAGTTAAACAAAGTGGAAAAATAGCATATTAGCTAATGATCCTCGGATGGATATTCTAGTCTAGTAGTTTCTCATAAACAAAGACTAGAATTACTTCTGGTAAATTGTGTTCCTGATTTCAAGTCCACTTTTAAGAGCAGTAGCGAATCACCAGGATTCACAGCCAGGAACCTTTCTTTCTTACCTAATTCTGTGCTGACTGGGGTTTTAAAGATTGCCTTGTACAAGAGTCAGAATCTAGGGCAGCTGTATTTTGATATATATGTCTTTACTTATTTTAAAGAAGAAATTATTTTGTTATATTTGAGATTTGTCCCCAGACAGAAATCCTTGAATCGAAGTTTCATTCTGATGTCTTACAATTTAAAGCTTTTTAAGGCCACTAGGAATAATTAAGAGATAGCCTTTATTGTGCTGAAACAGCCCACATTTATTGCAGAAACAGTGTTAAACTGTGCATTGATCCTAAAATTAACTCAGTCCCTTACAGGTGATCAGAATAGGTGTTACATTTCTATTACCCCCATGTATCAAATTAATTTCTGTTTCCAGGAATTTTGGAAAACATAGTTTAACTTGTTATCCTAGTATTAAATGGCCTGTAAAATATTGAACAAGCACACTCAATTCTGTTTGTTTTGGGAGGGTAATTAGGTTTTTATTTACTTATTTGTTTATGGCGGTACCAGGGATTGAACCCAGGACCTCGTGCATGATAAGCATACACTCTGCTGCTCATCTCTACTCCTCTTCTCAATTCTGAACTATAAAAATTTTCTTGTACATAGTTTGTTTGCAAGATCTCTAGTGTCAGATTTATTAGATACTTGCAAACACTCTGATTGTTTTGAATGAGTAGACATATGGACAGTGCTGTTTTCCAGTGCCTCCCAAATCTGTCATCCACTCCGATATGCTAGCACCCTCTTAGAATACATGAGTACAAGGTTGCAAATTTTCCACAGAATTTCCTTGGGTAAGTATTTATTTTTAATCAGTTGATCTTCATAATTAATTATTATCATTATCATTTTGTGTGCTATTCTTGCTCTCACAGTTACTAGGAAAAACACTTTATAAGACTAATTTTTTTTTAAGTTCTGAATTGTGTTTACGTCTTCATGTCAAACTCGGTGATTAGAACTTGGGCAAAGATAATCCAGACAGAGGAACAGGCCATACAAACATGTGGTTCAGGGAAAGTTGAGAAAATCAGCATGGCTAGAATTTAGCACATATCTTCAAAGCAAAGAGGTAACTGGAGCATCAGACTGGGCCCAGACTGTGCAGACTTGGTCACGGATATTTCATGATACATGCTTAGCAATGAGTTGAACAGATTTGCTTTCGTGAGATGACGACAAGTGGGCAAGTGAGTGAACGTGACTTGAAAAACTGCAGTGGTCAAGGAAAGCGGTGAGTACAGTTTGAGTCAAACATGTCTGCTAGACAAGAGAGAAGAAGCTGGACTTGAGGGGGTTTCCGAGATGACCCGGTAGGGTTAAATGACTGAGCCTGAGGACTGAAGGAGAGCCTGAGATCTGCAGGCACTGCTTAAAAAGGGAGAGAACAGAGGGGGAGAATCAAAGGAGAGGATTCATTTAGTGAGAACAAGCTCGAGAATGTTAAGTCGAGAAGGCATGAAATACAATTGGAAATGTCAAGCAGGCACTTACTGGCGGAGTTTCAGAACTCAGCAGAGGTTAGACATTGAGAAATAGGTGGTTGCAGAGAAGTTGGTCAGCTTATATGTAGCAGTTGCCATGGAACTTCTTGAGATCATCTAAGGAGTAGTTAGGGTGTAGGACTAAACGCTGTAAACAAATGGTAAGTAACAGCAAGCTGTTAGCTCTCAGTAGAAAAGAAAAAAGTACTGTGTATATAATATAAATGTATATATGTGTTTATATGTGTGTATATGCAAACTTGCAAACCAGTAAGTTCCTGAGAAGTTAAAATTAAGCAGTCAAGCTACTATTCCCTTTATAAATTACTAAATAAATTCTATGAGATATTTCCCTTGAATTGATTTATTTTGCTATGGTGAGTAATAGCTCAGGTGAAAACCTGATGGTCTTAAGAATTCATTCTTTTATTTAAAAAATAGGAGAAATCTGTTTTCTTTCCCTGTAGCATCAATTAAAATAATTACAAATACAGAATTTTTTCCTACTTTTAAGTTTGTTTTTGTAAATAATTTAATCATAATTATCAGGAAGGTTGTGGTTCACACGTGGGGCCAGTTTCTGCCCTTTGCTTTCTAACTTTCTTATTTCCAGTTTGATGTTATAATGAATAACTGCGTTGCAAATACTATTTGCTTTAATTCAGTTATTTGGCAAGTTTTTCTCTCAGTATTTTGAGTCTATTTCTCCAACTATTAAATGTAAATTAATTCACGTGAGAAATAAACTTGCGATCATAGTATGGTCATGCAGAATGAATAACCCACGAGTCTCGAGACATACAGTTACCAGAATATATGCCCAAAGTCCTTGTTAGTGAATACATGCACTCACATCTACTGGAGTTTATTTTAATGACCACATTGTATGCAAGGTACATTTGTAAGTATATTCTTTTGGGTTTTAGGGAAGAACACTGATTAAATGCTGAAATGATTACAAATCATGCAACGTATTCTTTTTACAAATTTATTTTTGTATCTTGCTTATTTTGGAATGCAGGAAAGAGAAACGCATTAATATCACAGACTGTAGAGTTATCTCTGTATAAATAACCAATGGATTGTTTCCAAAAAATCTAAATTATCATTTATTTCATCTGTAAACGTTTCTAGGTTAAACTTTCTACGTTGTCTGCAATAGTGAAAGAGGACAAAGAATATATTTTTGCTCCAGCGTCATCCCATTTTCTTATTTCCTTTTTTAAGCTTGTTGAAAGTAATTGTAGGACTACAGTGTGAAATAGATGATAAATTTTAAAGAGAACTAGAATGTAATAATCCGTAAACATATAAAAATAAGTACTTTTAATCAAAAGATGGCTTTCTTTTAATGTGGATTATTCAACTATCTCGGAGAATTTAAATTTATATTTTGTGTCCTGTATAGATTTTTATGGATTACATTTTTTTTTCCCTTAGGGATTTCAAGGCAAGACTGGCCCTCCTGGTCCAGGAGGTGTCGTTGGACCACAGGTACATTCCATTCCATTATTTCCCTAACAAGATTTATTGTTTACTGTTTATGTTGTCACCTTTCCTAAGTTGTGTCAAATTTGCTTATTTTATTATTATTGAAAATGATGTATTTTTACACTTCAGATGGCATTTAAATATATGTAACTTGCCTACATCAAATGAACTCTAGCAAATCATTAACTAAAGCAATTTTTCAATTGCCTAAATGAATAAAAGAAAAGAATAAAATAATAAAATAAGTAATGAAAATAAGTCAGAATGCTCACAACAAAGTTAACACAAAAGCCTGATCATGGCATCACCTGCTAAAAACACCAGAATACTTTTTAAATAGATTAGCTGTCATGTTTTTTGGGGATTTCAAATTTTAAAAGATGACTTCAGTGTTGAGTATAAATTAGATTTAGAGGTACAGTATATTAGAAATATAATATAAAAGCCTTTAACACAATTTTCTTCTAAAATTTTAATGTCTGTAATATATTGCATGTTTTTTAAAATGTTTGTCTTCATAGCAATGATTTCCATCAGTGATAAAATACTAGTTTGTAATCTTTGAGTATATCGAAATAATGGCAAAGACAAGTAGCTTTTTCAACAGAGGTGGCAGAAAGAATCTCAAAAATTGATGCAGTATCCTGAATTACAGCACTAAACAGTTATAGAAAATAATTCCTGGGGGTAGAAAACAGTGTTTATACTCTGGCATAGTGTATTGAATGGACAAGACACGTTTGGTTTACTCAGCTGGAATTGTCCACTGGTAATAACAAATTATAGCAAAAGTTGAATTAAGTGTTTTGATTATTTAATTGATTGACATACTCTTTTCTTGGCTTATAACTAGTTCTTAATACTTCTTATCTCAAACACAAACACACACAGAAACAAAAACTGCATCTTCTTTCTAGAAATACATGTGATAAAAGCAAAAAACAGAGAATTTTTGAATTGGTTGATTTCTTTAATTTCAGAGATCAATTCTGAACCAAGAGAACTGCTGTTTGCTACTTTATAAAGAAAACACATGCTCGTGGTACTCATTTTGCGTACTTTTGTGTATGCATGTGCCATGTCTTCCTTTTAACTGCTTATTGGTTTTATTAAAAAAAAAATTCCCTTCCCAAATACTTTTAATTCTTTTTATTCAAAACAACTTCACAACAATTTTCTGTGAAAAAAAATTAACTTAACAATTTCTTATTAAATCCCTATTAGATTACTTATTTATGAGCAACAATAGAGTTAGAGTCCCATCTTGAATGTAAACATCTTGGGACTTAATTGACTATTTCAGGACCTCACGCTTTTTGAAAATTTCTCTCTGCCTAATGCAGACATCTGGTTTCTGAGACCTGTGTTCTTTTTTTGTCTCCCTACTTTAAGGCATGAAAATAGCAGGTATTTTATTGAGTATGCATCTTCATTGGATTATTTTTCTTTATCAGTCCTTTTAAGAAAGTAAATTCTACAGCCTGTTCCAAATGTAACCATATTTTTATGTTAGGACAAAGGAAGTGATTTAATAGAAGCAGTATTTATTGTACTACTGGATATTCACTGTTTTGTTGTTTTTTTTTTGGACAGGCATGTGAATCACTGCTAATTTTTGTCTCAGTGGTGATAGCCATTAAATTAGGATCAATTTTTACCTTCCTTTCTGTTGAAATTCTGATCAGATATTTAAGGAAAAATTCCTTTTGAGAGGAAATGTTTGTGCATTAATGATATGTTGGGGACATTCAGCAATACATAATTAAAGGAATTTAAACCTAGAACTGTACACTCAAATTTGGGGCAGATGCGTTCTTTATCCAAGACCAAAAGGTAAGAATCTTTGGCACTTTTAGAAAAACAGCAGAAAATAATATTCCATAAGCAGCTTCAGTAACACATTCCACTGTTTAACAACCTTAGCATTTGGAAAATTTCCCTTTATATATTGCTAACTTAAATCCTTCATTTTGCTTTATTCTAAGTGGAAATAGAGAGCAACTGGTCACCATTCTCTATTTACACTTGAAAGCTTATTAAACTAGCACCACAAAACAGCACTACTCAGGG